GAAGACATTGCAGTTATAAATTATGCATCTTGGACCATAGACCGCAGGGAGGCCCAAAACCTTGAATACTTCATACAGTTTTGACATTCCAAATAACCCTCATAGTTTTGCCCCATGGTGGTGGCTACAACCCATGAATACATGAATGCAGCGAATACACTTTAAGTAACGAGCCATACAATACATCAGTTTCCAACATCACAAGAAAGAGACACCAATGGCTCCATGTAGGCGATTGGACTGTCCTTCACACCGACACATTCTCATCTGACCTTCACTGGAAGCATCTCTAAGTGTCAAATATTATACTGTAGAATTTTAATTTCATATCTTACCTCGAACTTGACAAAGCACTGCATGGGGACGTGCGGGCAATCAGACGTACAAGGTTTGGTAACTTGACTGTAACCAGTCATCTTTGAATCAACCTATACATCGCATTCTCACTCCAAAACAGATGCTTTGAGTTACATTAAGTTTGTGTCTAACAAAGATGTGAGCTCCAGGCACAGGTAACGCCACTCATCTTGTACTGTCTGCTTTAAGGCAACAAAGTGGGGTTCCTTTGCATTAGTGTGGCATGGGTGGGCATATTTGAATGCCAGCTGGAGGCAAAGAGGGGAGTGGATTCCCTCCTACAATGCCAGCTGGTGCACCTGCTCTGAGTCAGGTTGAAAGGGTTAAAACTCAACCATTATAAGGGGACATAGGAGGAGTGATAACAGCTTGTAGATTATGTACATGCTGTCACTCTCTCACAGTATTTTCTCCAGCAATGTATAGTTTGCCTCTATGCGAGGTCAGTTAATATGTTGTTTTGTGATTGTGTAAAATCCTTCATGTATAGGAAAAAATATATCCAGACATCACACCTATTCTACAACTATATTGCATCTCATTACTACAACTAGCATTTCATTTTGATAACCTCTCCCATGCCAAATGCATATAGCTGCATTATGACTTTGCATAGACAAACACTACCAGGAGATTAATATTTGTGTCGACAAGTGAATCAATGGAGAGGCACGTGTTTGCACGCAAAGTAGTTACACCTCCATACAGCTGAGAAAAGAAACTGAATTCCTTGTTTGGAGACAAGGGAACAGTGTAACAACACTGCTCTGGATGATTCTCAGTTCAAACGTGTTATATATTCCTGACAGCGGAGTCATTTCTTTCTACCTAGAGTTACAAATGTTGGATTATGCGGTTATGGTGATCATACATAATTTTGCACAGAAACTGTGCTTGGATATTTTCCATGATTCATCTTAGTTTTGTGATCATAATTGTGTAATATCAGTGACTAATCAAACATGAGGATTGCTGCCTTTAAACTGAAGTTATGCTGGAGCATGTGTGAAGGCCTTAACTCAGGAAATACAGACAGGGAATCCACAATAGGACAATCAAAGCAATTCTTCTTTTTCTTTTGAACCACATATGAGGTCACTGGCAGTCTTTTCATTCACAGCCTTCAACATTTTATATTCTGTATTCTGTATCTTCAATCAAATTCAAGTTTAGACACTCCTCTGCAACTCTCTGCAAACTCTTGACCTAGTGAAACTTGTTAATCTCTTAAACCACCTGAACCCTATTCCTCTTCTGCAACATTTCATCCATTAATTATCTATAGTCTCTATCCATCTGGGGAGTCTTCACCCATTGCACCATCTTACTGTAGGGGTTTATATACCTCTTACTTTCTGGAATCTTAAATATTTCTCTTACTATCTTAAGCCACATTTGCGATTTGTGTTTCATACATCAGAAGCAGTGCAAGTCACAGAAGTACTATCTTTGTTACAAACAGATGAGCACATATAAACACACAGACACACACAACCCTATTCTAAGTAGCAACAGACATCAAGTAGGGAGATTACGGAGGGAGCTGTGTCAATGTGTCAGTGTGTGAGTGTTTCCTCTGTTACTCTCTCTCTCCCTGTCTCCCTCCATCCATCTCTCTCACTTACTCCCCCTCCCCTTTCCGAGACAAAATGGCCAGATGGCTTCCAATCCTACATGCTAATCCACAACACACAGACTGTAGCTCTGACACACCTACCACAAGACTACTGCTCTGCTTTAGACAGATATTCCCCTAAACACACACAAAACACCACACATGAGGCCACTGCACATTTATAAACTGTCAACAAGAGTCCTAAACGGCCACTACACCGGACAATAGCAGCATAACTCCCTCAGACTAAGTCCTCAACAGATGGAGGCCTACTTGCATGTGCTGTGTGTCCTACTATCATATTTCAGGCAGCCCAGTTAGCAGGCTACAAGCCAAGATGAGGTTCTGTGTCCACTGCTTTTGTTAGCTGAGGTGAGGTAAGAGAAGCTGTGTGTGTTGGGTTACACTGGCCAGTGGAAAACATGGGGAAGCCCAGAACTGCACGCCATGGATAAGCCATAGAGACATGCAGGCAGACATACTGTAAAAAGAAAGGTTTCACATTGCTGTTGTGCGCAAATAAAGTTCTGCTTTTATCATTTGTTGGGTTAAATAAAGGCGCAGGACAATTTATGGTTACATGTGGCGGCAGATTAAAATTAACCATTTCATTTTGGCCATACAGGTCGGGCAGATGCTCATATTAAACACATAAATAAAACAAAGTAAAACGATACATCTAATAGTACATTTATCCATGTGGCTATGAGATGAGGAGATCCTGATAGGCAATATCTTTTCTAGTACTGCACACAATACTTACCGGACAAATCAAGCTAGAATAAAGTAATTCATTATTTTAGCAAAAATGTCACATGTCTTTGGTGAAGCAGGAAAAGAAAAACAATCAGTTATTACAGTGCATACACTCTAAATGTTGAAGTTGTATCTCTTTCCTGTGATGATTTAGTAAATGAGTTTCCCTCCCTTCAGTCTCGCAAGCTAATTCTATCTAATGTTGTTCCTACAAATAAAAGTAATGGAAGTTTCGGTTATGCTAGTTGATCACAGGGTCAGTTGTGAAAACACTTGCATAATAAGCCAAGGCGCAATAAGCTTTGATTTGACCTGCACAATTCATGTTGACACTATAAACAGTATGCTTTAGGGTGTAGTTTTCCTTTTATTTTTAGTAACACAGAATGCACATGCTGAGTATTAGACTGGACACATTACCACCTTTTAACTGGCTTATGTTCGTGTTCTTTCTTTGCAAATATAAAATTTTCATGAGGTGCATGTAACCTACACAGAGACGACGGCCTATATGGATAATTTTAGGCAAGCAGCTCTACCCAGACCCATATCAACACACAGAATACAAAGCTATTAATTGTCCTTTTGCCTGTAACAGACCTGTGTAGATAAAGGTGTGATGAATATATAATTCTTGCGGCATGTGGAGCACAGCGTCTGATACCCAGATCGGTGAGCAAATATACAGCAACAGTTTCCTAGATATGTTGAACAGCAGGGTATATCACAGCATCTCTGTCTGATTGTCTCTCTGCCTTCTGATTGTGACACTGCATTAGATTACTACTGTAGGCCTGGTGTCCTTTCTGCCAAGACCAGTGCTGTGCAATGTGCTGTACTGGCACAAACTACTTTATGTACTAACAAAATTTCCACAGAATTTCAGGTAGAAACTACCAAGTGATAATCAAACTAGGCTTTTGAGCTACATAAGGGACGAAGGAGTGGCCATGATAGTTTGTATTTAAATGCAAAAAGATAGCAGTAGACACCCTTGGATGAACATAATGAAGGCATGGAAGGAATGGAGTGCAGTCATGGTGGACAGATAGATTAGTGGTGAATGGAACAGCATGAATCACATCTATATCAATATACCAGGCCAGTGTTCGAAGGGAGTAGCACCTTAGGTACCCCATCCCCCAATTCCCCTCTACAATCATCTGACCCTCCCTTGATCACTGACTCCCTAGTATCCCTCTTTCACACGACAGCCAGACAACAGGTCTCCCATCAGGCCCTGCTCCTCACAAACCGGAGAATGACTGCGCTTCCTGATGGAGGAATCTCTCCCTCCCTCCATGTTAGCTCTGACACCACAATCTAAACGAGCAGAGGTGACGGGGAGGCACACGTTCAGCTTCAGCACCATAGCCAATCCTTCCATCCTTCTCCACCATCGATGGCTTTGGGAGAATCAGAGGCAGAATAGCTCGGCTTTCACAGGACCAGCCCCCACCCCCACTCCGATCCCCAATGAAGTCAGGTGATACAGATGTTGTATATCTCCCTGTCACTACAGCCGCCATGAAACTGCTACACACATCCATGATAAAGCCAGGAGGCAGAAGCGCGTCTCTGCTGTGTGTGTGTGGCCATAGTAAGACAGGAATGGAAACAGAAACCATTTCTTCATGAAAACCTCCCTAGAAAGGCCATAAGTGAGGCAGTGCAGAGAAAACAAAAGAGCATCCATCAGCGTATTAACCATCCATCACCCCCCCACCACCCACCACCCCCCCATCCACAGCATATACAGCTCTGATCCATCCGTCAGCCTCGGGTCTACAGACCCAAAATAGCATTGCTTCTTTTTTGTTCCAGTGTTGCCACTGCAGCTGCTGCATTTCTCCAGGACTGACACACACACACACACACTAACACACACATATACACACATAAGGCCTGTACAAACGCCACCATTGATTCTAACACCTCCTCATCAATAAAGATGCTATTTGCGAGGCACAAGGGAGTGCATACAGAGATGATGTGATGCAGAAGGGGGTATATGATCACACATAACATGTCCAGCCCATCTGATGCAGGCATCCATTTCCATCTCGCCCTCATGGACAGACTGCTGATGAAACAGCTGCCTCCTTAGCAGGGTAGAATGCAGAGTGGAAGAACAAGAAGAAAAAAAAAAGGCTACAAAGCACCCCTACATACACAGCCTCCCCCTCCTCCTCCTCATCTCCTCTCCTCCCTCCTCTGCCGCCCCCCCCACCCCCCTCCACATCCCATATTGCATACACAGAGAGGGAATTACCTGAAATATGTCTTCACATTCTCTTGCTCAGTGTTTCGTCTTTGAGCCCGGAGCTCTGGTAGATTCATCGTCAACCGTACAGTCCTAATGACAGTTTAAAGGCAGGATTGCCATTCTCTTGTCAGACCAGTTCCTGACCCTAAAAGCAAGCTTGTTCGGCAGGCTGGATGCTTCACTGGCTGCTCACTGTTCCCTAGCCCATGATGTCATCCACCCTGCTCTACCCATTGGCTGAGAGGCTGAATATTAATGCAGGCAGCAGGTCTGGGGGAGGAGGCAGCCAACGGGCAGACAGAGTTGGTTTTCTGTTTGACAGACCAAACCTGCTGAGCGAGAAGGCCAGGAGGGGGGGATTACATGTCCATGCTCAAGAGCTTTTCTTTTGCAAACTTGTAAGGCATTGGTCTGTGTTGCTAACGTATTAATCAATTTGAACTGACAAAGCTTTTGTAGAGGGATGTGTTTGATGCACTGGTTCCTCTAAAACCGTTATGGTTTCACAATGTATATGAAGTAATACAATATATAAGTAAGCAGTGGTAAAATATAACAATAATTTGCTACACAAAGCAAACAAAAGCAGTACACAACTAATTGCATGCTGAAATTCCTGCATTCAAATATTTCTGAAATTTGTCACAAACAACACCCAAACATATTTACCTGTGGTAAACAGAATAGTAAACTCTTACTTTGTGCAAGAGGGGAGATGATGAGAATGACCGTACTCCTTAAAATAAATAGAAATAACAAACATCTGTCAACTCTGGCTATAGGTGTAAAGCTTTCTTTTTTACAGGAAGATGCTGCTTGTGTATTTCAGAAACTAACCCCGGCGCCTAACACATATTTCTTAAGATGTTTAAGATTATACAAAACACAAATAGAGACGTGACTAGTTTAAGAAATGATAGTTAGCCTCGGATTTAGAACAAAATAATATTTAGCTTGCCTATGAACTTATGGTGATATTCATCACTGAAGAACTGATATCAAAGACGATTCCCTATTGCTATAAAGTAATGAATGACATATAGGATCACTTATAAAGTAGAACATACATGTTCTGTGCATCATTTGGATGTTTCTGGCAAAACCATGTACTGCTGATGTGATGTTGTTATTTTACTCTAATGCTACATGTTCAACCTTAGAGTAAATGTGTAACCACTGTTAATAAAGTGTCTGACAAAATGTTTCATTGACAGATTTGTATGGACTCTCCAGCCTTTTTAACAGTAATTATTAATATTATTTTGTATTTCTATCAGAGCAGGTATTAACATTTGGAAATCATACTAAAATTTGAAACCAAATATTTTCCTGAATGAATGATTTACAGATATCTTTTTTCAGAATATAAAGCAGGCGGAGACAACAACCAAAATGCTCACTGCATTTGCCCTAATTTGCCTATGATGTCATCTTTTTCCTCTAGCTCACCTGTGATTGGCTGACTGGCACAGCATCTGCTCAGTCTCATGGCTAGTGCTTCTAGCCCAAGGTGGAGGCCTATCTGAGGCTCTGTGAATCATGGCTGGTTGTCCTGACAACCCCTGTAATGTCGATTCCTTGTCGGAGAGTAATATGGCTGTTCTGAGACAGTGTTCACTCAAATGGAGAACCTGAAAATTACAAGAAGACAATGTCTGTTATAATACTTTATTCACATCAGAAGGTGGCCTTTGTAATATTTTTAATAAACTGCATAACTGCATCATATTTTCTGAATAAATGGAGCTTGGAAAAAAAATTGGATTATAGAGTGCAATAAATGTGGGAACATTTTTTTGTTTCTTTTAAAGCAATCATTGAACTTGGACGTCTTGGGGATTTAAAATATATTAAAATATTAATCCAATGCTCATCTTCTTTGACAGCATACATTTTTCTCCAGCTTTGCAGGCATGCAAGTGTTGCAATAGCAAGATTAAACCCAGCCAACATAGACAGGAAAGAAAAATGCAAATGTGAATTTAGTTCAGCAGTGTCACGCAAACCTCTGAAAGCAGAGAAGAGGTTTTGCTCTGACTCCTGACAGCAGACACTAAGGATCACTGTACACTTACACAGAAGAGACGAGGCACAGTTATTATATAAAAGTGTCAAAATGACACAACTAGCATGACAAAGCCTTTAAAGCATGACATAAAACAACATTTGGAAAATACTGGCCCCTTAGATGTTATACTTTCAGGACATATATACTGTATTCAGATCTCTTTTTTTGTTCCATTTTCCCAATCTAATACTAAGGTTTAAGACAGCAGCAACCATTAATTTCCATGCTTATGACGTTCGTACATGTGACTGTAATTATGAATAGTCAGCGTCACAGTGGGGCCGCCCCAGCAGGCGTCGGCTGATGTAGAGGAAATACCCCCGACAGGTCAGCTGTCCATCACAGGTCCGACACATGGACAAACTCACCCTTTCAGGGTCACTATTAACCAAATTCACATGCCTTTGGATTCAAAAGAAACATGCAAATCCATTAAGAGGAAGTCACACTGAGCTAACATGCTCACAGGAACCAGGGTGGATTAATTCATGCCTTTTGTATTCTCAGTATCAATATAAAAGTTTGTTGTTTTTTTTGTTTTTTTGTTTCTTGTACCAAAGGAACAACAGTGTTGTGCTTTTGGCCAGCGGTGTTTATGCCATCCACCCCAGAGTCAATACCATGATACAATGAGTTTTCTCCCATAATTATACAGGGCTGTTCAATAACTGTAACCCATCTGTTGCTGTACACATGTTCGACCTTAAAATCTATGGGGCCAGAATCTGGACCCACCACCCAACAAAGCACACACAGAGAACCACTTCTTTACATGTCTGCATTGACGTAGTCTCCCAATGATGCTTCAGTCCTTCTTTAAGCTTACTTTTCGCCTTCATTTTGTAGGTAGTAGATCAAGTAGATTTAACAGGTGAAAAGAACAAGGGATTGTGCGTTTCACCGGGATTAATGTGCTTAGTCCACTCTGTGAGACGAGCACTTCGAAAGAAACAAACTGGGATGGCAACAATGATTAGAAAGGTCACAGACTTTCTGTGTGTCCTTTCACAACCATGTGTGTTGTTGTCGTGTCCTTTAGAAGTACAGAACCCATACCTGCTCCCTCATTGTAAGTCATGCTAGATAAGAGTGCATAAAATGCTTTAATTAAAGCAGTCATATGAAAGAACAGAATCTGTAATTACAGGCTACAAACAGCCTCCCCCTGTTCTTTTATCTGGTCATTATCAGCTCCAGCAGCTGTATATTGACTAATGCAATATTTTCTCCAGTCCACGTTCTCCTAAATATGTGATATTTACTCATAAACGTAGCTGAGTAATACTCAAGGCAGATTTTCCTAAAGCTTGGCAGTAAAGGCTCAGATCAGGAGCTGACAGAACAACCTGCAGCTGCAGTGAGGAGGAGCATAATTTACTAGTATCCATAGGCTGTCAGTGATCAGGTTTATATAATGAATCCCATAAATATCCTTGGAGGCAGAGCACATTCGGTGGTGACATTTTGTAATAAGCCCTGTCTGAAATTTACTAGTGTTTTAGGCAAAGTCAGAGAAATTGCTTTTGAAATATAACCTACATATAACATACATATATCTTGAATCTAATCTAAGTTTTGTAGTCTTGATATGTGCATTTGATTTACCTGCCTGTAATTTAAAGCATGTTCCACCGTTAATTCACTGCATCCCATAATTCACTTTACATTGAATTTGTTACAGTGGTAAGTAATATTTCCATCAATGTACATCTAGAGCTTTGCAGCAAATTACCCAGCCAACATTTGTATGTGAGATCCATGTGGGCATTAAATGGCCCTATATAGGATTGTCCCCAGGTTCAACAGTGGCCCCATGTCAATTGCCCACATGGGCTATAGCAGGATTACACTAGGTGTTAGGTGGGGCCCAACCGGGCATCTGGACACCCAAATGGCCCCATTTGTGTTGCCCACTCTGAGCCCATGCTCTCATTTTCCAATGGTAACCCAACTAGGTCCCACACAGGGAGCCCACATGGGTTCGCCCATGAATTGAATAACCCAAAAAGGGCCCACATATACATATATATATTGGCTGGGTACAAAAAAGTGTATATTACATTAATTGTCATACCATGAGAATTATATAAAAAATATAAATCTAGTCAATTACAGGCTTTTTATCCAAGTTAGAGGCTATATGGATGGCAATGTTGGTCTGTCGGTCCACCACTTTGGTCCAGACTGAATCTCACAAGCACTGAATGGATAACCATGAAATTTGGTACAGACATTCATAGTGCATAGAAGATTAATCCTAATGACTTGGGTGATGCCCTGACCTTTCCTCTTGCACCACCAACAGGTCAATGCTTTCAATTATCCAATGAAATATGGACTGGGCGGACTGGCTTAAACATTTGTATAGATATTCATGGTTCCTAACCTTGCAAGGCAGCTGGACTGAAAGAACGGCACCTTTTCCAATCAGTTTCCAACGAGGACTTCCTGAGTGGTTCTGTATAAAAAACCCTCTCGCACAGTTAGGTACAGATATTAATACCCCCGATACTTTGGTTTTTGACCAAATATCTCCAAAACAAATAAATCAGCCAGCTATACCTTGTGTTTAGGGCTGATCAGCAAATTGTGAACATGTTAGCATTTAGCACAAAGGACCGCTGTGCCTAAGTACATAGCAGCTAGCATACCTGTAGAGTATTAGTCTTGTTTGTGTGTATTTCACATATCATTTCTATAAGTGTAATGGATTCAAAGATTTATGCACCTCTTATTGATTCTTTTCTTCTCTGAAAATATTCCCCATCAGGGGAAAAGGAAGTATCATACATTGCTACAGTGTGCTCAACAGGTTTTCTCATTTTATAGCAGTGAGGCTTTGCAATCCAGTCCAGTGTTTCATCTGCTAGAGGATCTCTTTGGTTTACCAAATCAGCACGTCAGCCATAAATTCCATCAACATCATACATTTTTTGTTTGGAATATGAATGTGAAATTTCATCACTGCTTGTGTGTAGCAGCATTTCCTAAAGAGTCTTCTTCATCAGCTCAAGAAGAATGTTTCATTCTGCAAAATGGAAGGAAGAAATTTGAGATGATAGGTTCTTTGGTCTAGAATGAAATAATCACAGCGCTGGTCAATCACTACTGTA